CCAATTGTTGAGGCAATGGCTGCTTTAGTTGTTATGGAGTAAGTTAATGAAAAAAATTTGAATTAATTTATATTTATATTTATATTTATATTTAATATAAATTATTTTCAAATATCTTCATTCAGTGCACTAATGATTCAACAATCACGTAAAACTGCTGCATCACTACTTCCACAAATACCTAATATACCTGTTACAATGTTAGGTGCTGTTCCAATAAAATCATCTAATGAAACAACAGAAGATAAAGACTTATAATTTAATTTTTTTAAAAAAATAAATTTTATAATACTATTATCAAGAACAACAAACAAATAAATGGATAACAAGTTTTTTAAGATACATATTTTAATAAATTGTTAATATTTATTTAAGAATTATTTGTTTGGTTTAGGCTGAAATTTTATAATGGTAGACAGAATTGATTGATCTTTTGGATATTTTAATTATTTGTAATAATATAAAGATGAGTTTTTTTTCAATATTTATCAAATAAATAGATGATTTATAAAGTTTTTTCAATTTATTGAATTCAAAGTTTTTATTGCAAATATTTATATAATCAATAATAAAATCAATGATGATAGTATAATAATATAATAAGAATCTAACGCAATATATTATACCATATATGTATATGTATATGTATATATATACTATATATGTAAAAAAAACACAGAGACCAATTTATGTTATACTAATCAATTTAGTGAAAAAAAATTTTTTTTTTAATCATCACAATCATTAGCCTCAGTACCAGCGTCTTCAATAGTATTGCTATCTTCATATTCATCTTCTTCATTATTGTTTTCAGATATCATAAGGTTTTGGTTAGAAGGTTTAATAAGAAATGGTACAACAACATAGTGTGTTGATACTTGTAACATCATCAATCAAGTCTATGAAATTTTCCAAATTGTTATTATTGTTTTGGAATTTGAAGGCTTATTAACATTAAACATTTTTTTTGTTTTTTTGCTCTTTCATTTGCTGAAGTTCCTCAAGAATACCAAGGTCAAGATTAGGCATTACATTCATTCTGTTTTGCAATTCATGCTCAGTATCATACACATATATTTGAGCAAACTGAGGGTGAACTTCATTATCAGGAAGTATTGTGTCTACGCTATAATACATTTCACCATGAACACGAAAGCTGTAAATGCCACTTGTTCCTGTTATACTATGATCAACCTTTGCACCCATAGACGTAAAAGTCAAAGCTGAATTATACAACCTAATATTTTTCCTAAATAAACGTGCACTTGGATCTGTTCTAGTAAGAAGAGTGTTGAGAGGATATGGTAATTCCTTAATAAGAAGGAGAGAAACCCTGCCTTTGACACAACATGTTGTGAAAACTGGTGATCGCATAGATGTGCCTGTTTTTCTTTCATCTATCCACAACAATTACATCTATGATTCATGCTTCCCAGAGAGTGACAGTCTAAACCTTGTGAAGACCATGGATAATACGTGTTTTTAATGTTTTTAGAGGAACAGTAGTCAGAGGAATAACTACTTCTTGCTCAGTGGGGGTAGTCACGTTATCTTCTGAGGTAATGCTAAAACTTGGATCTAAAAATTGGTCAAGTCCCGTAGAGCCTTCAGAATCCATATTTCTTTTGTTTTTACGATAACACTGTTGTTGTTCACAATTAAGTATTTGTTGACATTCTTCGGAAGTCTCATCTATAGTGTTACTAACTTCACTTTGCATATTCTCCTGATTGATCAAGATCCATAAAGCCTTCAGAATCCATATTTCTTTTGTTTTTATAATAACGCTGTTGTTGTTCACGATTAAGCCTTCGTCGACGTTCTTCGGAAGTCTCATCTATAGTGTTACTATATACAACCTTCTTTTCTCCTGGGTGGTCGAGTCCCGTAGAGCCTTCAAAATCCATATTTCTTTTGTTTTACGATAATGCTGTTGTCGTTCACGATTAAGTCTTTGTCGATGTTCTTCAGAAGTCTTGTTTATAGTGTTATTTCTATTAAGACTAGTGTCGTAATCCAAAAAAGGAAAAAGTATGGTTGCAAAAGTGGTCGCAAAGGTAATTGCAACCACTTTTATATGCCATAAATACAATTACTACCATCATCATAATTTACGGCACTAGTCTTTAATTTCTATCCATAGTATTATTTTATTTTCTTGCGTGTTATTTTTAAAATCTATCTATATTAGTATAGCTCAAGTCATCTAAAAACCGACCAATTTTATTCAGCATTTTTGAAGCCCATCACATGGACACACAGGGCACTTTTGGACTCAACCCCTTCATAGTTTTGTCTATGAAAAGTTTGATGTAAAATATTTATTACTTAAAAAGTTATGGTGGTTTGAATAGTAACTTTCTATATTTTAAATAATGTTTACCCTAAATTTGTCACCTCTTTCATGGATTGTTAACTATTAAGGGTGATCTTTTTCCAAAATTTTTTTCTTTAGGATCATCCCCTATTTCATATTTAAGAAATTTTATTTCCTAAAATTTGAAATTTTGCCAGTTTACTTATAATGGTCAGGTTTAGATGACTCGAGCTGTAAAGGTCATGAAAATAAATTGTCTAACTATCTATTAGTAATTGATAAAAGTCACGAAAAGTATGCAAACGTGTAATATTTGAAATTTTATTGTGGAAATTTTATTGTGATATACATTTGCACTATTACACAATTTAAAAATCATTTACATGTGGTAGTCTAAACGTTACATATTTATTTACGTGCGTGACAACATATTTATTTGCGTGCGTGTGGTAACCCAACGGATACAATAATAGATAGATTGTGACACACGTTTGCATTATTGCACAATTCAACAAGGTAAATAATCCCCACCTTGTATTGGAACATTATAAAAACATCACCAATTCACTTAATTTTCGGGTAAAAAAATTCAAATAATAAATAATTTTCTTTTGTCTTTTAATTCATTTGTCCGTAAAAAAATTTTTTAATTGCAAGTCATGTGCCCACTAATTTATCATTGGTCCAAATTATTTATTGTAACAATTACGATCTAAATCAATAAAAAAAAAAATTCTTTTTAAAAATTCATTTTTAAATTTTTTTAATTCTAAAAAAAAATGGCAACGATCGAAGAGATTAGGAAAGATAAAGGAGTGGCAGAAGAAGAGTACAAGAAGGCGGTGGAGAAGTTGGAGAAGTGGGAAGAGGGAGAAGATGATGGGAAGTGGTTGCAGAAGTTGAAGAGAAAGTTGGATGTCAAAGAATGGGGGAAGACAAAGAACAGAAAAAAAGGTGGGAAGAGTCGGTAAAAGAATTGAAAGAGGAGGAGGCGAGACTGGTGAAGGATAAAGATTATTGGAAGAACCAGGTGGAGAAGCTGCGGGATATGTTGTTTAAATATGGTAAAGAAAAAGGTAATGAACAAATTGCATAAAAAAATATACAAAAAATTATTTTTCGTTCATTCATTTATTTATTTTTTAATTCGTGATACGTGATAGAAGTAGATAAAATTCTGAAAATTAATTAACAAATTGTGGGGGGTCATTACTATAAAATGGTTACAATTGACCAACTTCCAAATTTTTTCTACCAGCACACATGATAAATATTACACAAAATATTAAATAATATGATGCAATAAATCTCAACCATTATTTTGACATATTTTTTATCATTGTTTACAAGTTTTTGACTTTGCTACTTAGCAACCCTGGATTTCAGAAAACATGGCGCAGTATGCACTAGTGATGTTAGCCGGCTAAGAAATTTTTAAACGGCTTAGCCGGCTTGAGCCAATCAAATTCCATTCTCAAAAATAATAAAAAATATTCATTCATTCGTAATGCTGCCAAAAAAGGAAAAGAAAACTAATGCACAAAATAAGCAATTAATTAGTTCCAACACTCGTAGCAAAGCAAATTATTGGTCTGGTGGGTCATTGCATAACAATATTAACAATGGGTTAAATAGCAGTAGTAATATTAATAGTATTAGTAGTGGTAGTAGCAATATTAATAATTGTATTAGTAGCAGTAGTAGTAATAATTGCAGCAATGATAATAATAGTAGTAATGATAATAATAGTATTAATAATAATGAAACATTTGATTATGATAAGTTAAATAGCAATAGTATTTGTAGTAATAATAATATTAATATACTGTTTTTGAGAGAAAATTATAAACTTTTTGATCAATAAGTTGATTAATTTTTTTAATTTTTATATTAATTAATTTTTTATTATGTTTTAATTGAATTTTTCAATAAGAATAGAATAAATAATTCATTTGATCAAATGTTAGCTGGCTAGAATTTTTTACCATATTCATCAGCGTGAAAATGAATTTCTATATTAATACTAAAAATTTTTGGAAACAAAATTCTAATTGGCCAATTTAAATTTCACGCACAACGTTTAGTAAAATAATAAAAAACCCCGATTTTTAATGAATTCATACAAAGTATTAGTATGTTATTTGTCTACTAAATTATTAGATAAAAAATTTATTCAAGTTCTTAGCCGGCTAAGCCGTTTATTACCTAAATTGGTAATTTTATTTCCATAACCAGAAGATAACGCGGAAATCTATTACCAAATTTAGAAATTATGTATGCAGATTATTAGCCGGCTTAGCCGGCTAAGTCGGCTAAGGTTTTTCTACCGGCTAACATCACTAGTATGCACTTCTATCATGGATCATGAATTAATTTTGATATACTTGACTAATCTTTATTTCTTTTCATGTTGGGTTTTAAGCAAGTACATCAGGACAAAAACAAAGACAGAGGACTTTGATGTCACAACAGCTAAAAAGGCTTTCACTGAAAAATTTGTGCATTCAAATAATTTTATGGATGAATTCCAAAATCATATTAAGTATTGTTTGGATACATGTAAAAAGTATTCCTTATATGCTCCATACTTTGTCTTATTCAAAGTTCAGGATATGCAAATCTCGTTTGATTGCTGAATTAGCTCAAAACATCTATGTTGTTTACATCTGTTTACGACCAGAAAATGTCAATGGATATCCAGCATTGTAGGAAATATGATGAACCATTTGCAAAATTGGGAAAACCAGAAATTGCTATTGATTGGTTTCAAATGTTTTTAAAAAAAACTATTGCAGCGCTTATTGAGAAACTTCAAAATAGAGAGCTTTCATGTCCAAGTGATTTTTGGAACATGCAAATGAGTCCAGATGCTGAAAAAAACTTTTGGGATCAAGTAATTCAGAGAATGGATCATGATATTCAATTTACACCTAATTATATACCTTCTCAACATCAAGAAAATAGCACTTTGCATCTTTTTCTCTGTTTTGATGAAGCATGTCAATTGCTCTCTGACAAAGGTGACAATGTATTATCACCTTTTAGAATAATTAATCGTTCTATAAAGGATATTGGATGGGTCAAACATGGGTTCCTTTGTGTCATGCTTGATACAATGGGGCAGTTAACCAACTTTTCACCTCCAACAAAACAAGATCCTTCCCACAGAATTAGCAATGAAAATATTAAGTTACTTCCACCATTTATCAATGTTATGACATTTGATGCACTTGATTACAAACTGAAAGATCATCCAAATCATTGCTTGCTCTTTGGCAGACCATTATGGGGATCCAGTGTTATTGCAGAGAAAGACATTAGGGAAGTAGTGGAATTTGCAAAATGCAAACTCTTGGGGGATACCAATTATCAGACTTGACAAAACCAATAGAATATATATTTAATGATGAAGAAAATAGATTTGCTGTTTCTTTGGCTATATTAAGCTGTCTTGTCTCTCTGGATATTTCAACTCAATCTCAGCTTACCCATTTATTGGTGGGCAGTTATATGGGTACTTGTATTGGTGTTTCAAAAAGTAGAGAAAATATTTTAACCATGTATCCCTCTGAACCTATTCTTTCTGAAGTTGCTTTGCAAATTATTGAAATTGAAACAAATAGAAGATTTGTCCTTGATCGACTTGAAACTTCATTAAAGAATGGGCTTGTTGAAGCAGGACATCATGGGGAACTTGTTGCACGCCTCATTCTTATATTTGGATGGCAACATATGTTACAAGGTACATCCTTTTATACAGAAGAGAGAACTGTAGAAGAATTTTTGAACACAATTTTTGGAGACATTAAAATTCACATCAAGGAAAATAATAAATTCAAGCAATCAAGTTTACAGATGGTGAGCACATTCAAACCATGAATCATTTATCATCATACAACGTTATACAAGATGGTCGAAAAATAAAAATATCACTGCGCCGAGTGTTTCATAGCATTACAATAATAAAAATACATGATTCAATTGATTCAATCATTTATTACATATAACAGGAGAGACCGTTCTGATAACACAAAATTTTAACCCACGCAATTGTTGATCGACCAATCAAAATCTTGAATTTTGATAACGTAAAAATAAACGTTAACATAAAACATTGATCCATTTTATCAACAATCACTTCACCAACAGTTGTTTCGTTAACAAATGGTTCTAATTTAAGAAATTGGAAGCAACCATTTGAAATAGTCTAATAAATTAAACCGTATTTAAGGGGTTGGTTTTCGACTTGATTGAAGAATAACTTTCTTCCTAACTCTTCTCTTGACCATATCTCTCGATATAATTAAAATAATCTTAATACAACGAATGTCAAAATGATCGTAAACGCAACCAATTTGAGATACACGATCAAGAGAAAACATGAACGATGTATGAAAAAATCAAACAGTTGTTTCGTTAACAAATGGATCGAATTTAAGAAGTTGGAAGCAACCATTTTAAATAGTCTAATAAATTAAATCGTACTACTCGAAAATGTATTTAAAGGGTTGGTTTTCGACTTGGTTGAAGAATAACTCTCTTCCTAACTCTTC